GGGGGAGGTGTTCCTGGGGAGCAGGGCGGTGTTCCTGGGGAGCCAGGGAGGTATTCCTGGGGAGCAGCAGGTGAGCTGGTGGCGTGGGGCAAGGGGTATCTAGGTGAACCTGGAAGAGCAGGGAAGCAGACATTCCAGGTATTAGCCATGTGTCTCCTCTGAGTGGGGCACATTTTGAGAACTTGTGGTATTCAATAAAATGTTTGTAAAAATCAAGGTGAGTATTTGCGACTGATTAAATGTACATTTCCTTTGAATTCTTATGTCATGAATTGGCTAATTTCAAACACCAAGAGATTATTTGAGAAACTAGTGGTGGGATTTAGCACACGCTACCCCAAGGTATGACTCCGTGACATTTGAGAAGACGGCAGAAGTAGAAAGGTCACTATCACCTTCCCCTCCCTCTTTTCCCCTGAAACGGGTCATAAAACCTTCATGCCTAAAGTGCTAACTCTACACCCAGAGGAAGGGAATATCCTTACCTCTATGGGTACAAAGAGAATAGAACAGACAGGCCTGGCTAAGTTCCCCCCAGTTTATTCCCATTAGATCATACATTTTTGTCCTCCAATCACATTTATACCCAACTGTCTACTTGCCACCAAACCTAAGCATAAAAACACACAGGTTTTCCTGTTTCTTTGGGTCTTCATTTCTAAAGACTCCCATATCATTTAAATTTTAAATTATTATGCTTTTCTCTTCTTTTGCTACAGGACCTTAGCCAGAAACCTTGCCATAGGTAAGGAAAAGATCCCACTTTTTCTCCCCTACATTTAGTTTACGGGGCTTAACTCAGGATGGCTGAGACACACCACTCATTCCAGAGCCTGCAGATGAGATCCAGGGACAACTGACAAAAAGCCAGTGAAATAAGAATTCTTACCAAGGTCAGCTGTCCCAAACTGAGATGGAGCAGGGACCCCTCGTAGGGGCTGGCAAGCCTGAATAAAGGAAAAGTCTTGAGGCCTTTAAGGGAAATTCCAGGCACCCTAGCTAGCCTTGAAGAGTAAATGAGCAACCTGATACACAAGAAGATGGTAACAAGAGTCTCCCAAGCAGACAGGGTCACAAGGCGTTTGTTCCCTATAGAAACTAAAGATAACATCTTAACATATGTTCTTGAGTTCTTCAGAAGCCCCACCAGATGGAAAATGCTGACCACTATCCTGTAGATGAGGGGGAGCTGAGGACTGAACTCTCACCTCTATTCTCTGCTCTAAATTTCTTCCTGAGGGGCTCAGACAGAGTCAGCTCACAGGCCAAACCTGAACGTTCCTTTCTGCTGACCCCAAGTTTTGCCTTGGCTTTGCTTTCTTAACCAGTTGCTAATCATAGAGTCTCTGAATCCACTATGATCTGTAATTTGGGACCAAAGCAATGTATACCTTCCATGTATTGGTTTACAGTTTTTTTGACAACTTC